TAGTATATAACACTGCAATTGAAATGATACACACCGCTTTCTTTTTCCTGGAATTCTGTGAACTTTTTGTTCAGGATGCCTGAAAACCCAAATGACCAAATTTATTTATGAGCAGGGGGTGGTAGTGGCAACCGGTATCTTTCTAGCACTTTACTGAGGCTATTTGGGCCCCTTATAGGCTACTTCCAGTTTCAACTTGAAAGTGGTTGTGTCATATTTTAGTCCTCTATTATGTTATTCCATAGTTACCGTAATTTGTTGAAGGAAAAACCAGTTCTAAAACCCCTTCTTCTGGTTTACGTGTACGCATGTTTGCTGAATTCGGTGGGTCGGTTGCTCAAGAATGTGCGAAGTTAGTTTTCTCATATCCTTGCGCTATTTAACTGTTTGCTCTAAATTATTTTTTCGCAAACGCATTTTCTGCTATCCTGGTAAGTGTGTCATAAAATCATTCAGTCCTCCGTCCGTCCTAATACTGAATAGGTATGCCACAGCTAATTTCAAAACGTGCTTCACGCTGATAGGGTCCTGCTTTGATGAAAGCGGCTATGTTGCAATTCGGTTCTTGAAAGATGTTTTGACAAGACTAACGTCTTCCTCCTGCTTCAACAGGTGTTGGCTCGGTGCGAGAGACACCGAAGATGACCAACTCATTGATTTATCGGTGCCTCCAAATCGCAATACTCACACCACCGGCATGTGGCTGATATTGAAAGTCCTGAAAATAATTGAATTAGATTTAAAAAATTCGCTTAATGTCAACTTACCCGCAAAAGTCTAGCTTGCTTCATCATGGGGGCGGCGGGATCTCCAACCTTTCGTTTGGAGGCTCTCTTGGAGCTGGGTGTTTGGGTGGTGTTGGATAGCCCCCTCTGCTTTAAAAATCCCACCACATTGGTCACAGATCTTGGAAGATGATTAGCAATCCCATGACGTTTCAGGTTATCTCCTTCCTGGTGAACCATTTTGTGCACAAAATTAAAAATTCGCTGTTTATGGAGGTTTGTTTTAAAGTAAATGAAAAAATAAAACCAGTTTAAATTGGTTAAAGAACCTTCCTAAATTTTAGAAAAAGAAATTTGAGTTTTGTGCAAATGTAAGTGAAAAAGTAAATTCAAGTTGCTGCGTAAAAAACTATTGGAATTAAATTAAGAAATAGGTAGGTACTCAGGGTTGTCTGTATTTTTAAAAAACAAACAATATGTTTATGTGTTAAGGAAAATAAAAATAATTCAATAATCGAGGTTTGTGTTAATTTAAAATATGTCTCAGGGCATGATTTATCCTACATCACTTAGATATTTAAAAATAGTACTTACAGTTTTTCGAAACCGACACTTATCGCCCAAGAAACTAAACTTTGAAAATCCAGGTTCAAAGTACTGGTACTGGATGCTGCGTTTTTTGTACAAAGAATAAAAATTGAATCCTCATCTTTTACAGGTAACAATGTATCCACTGAAATTTTGTATTGCATAGGGTATTGGCTCATAAAATGTCAACGATGCTAATTTAAATCTATTCTTTTAAATTTTGATAAATTGTTTGAATTTGTCACCTTTTAAAATAAAAATGGACATATTAATACCTATCTAACTTAATAATTACGCCTTAAACTAAAAAATTATCTTTAAAATGTGTTGTTGTTTTTCTCGGGCGGCTTCTGCGAATGGTCCTGATATTTTTCAGATAAAAAAACTGCCAATTAAGCGTTTGCATTTAGCGGTGCTTTTGTATGTGATACTTCGAAGTTTAAATCGGATTTTATAATAACAAGCTTCTTTCAGTTTGCTCAAACTAGTCAACAGTGGAAAATATAAAATTATTGCACAACAATTAATTTGATTTTAACCAAGTAAGTAAATATCTTATATACTAATATCAATCAACAACAAGACCTGTCTTTTCCTAGCAAAGGATTGAAAACACTGAGAAAATTACAAGACCTGAAGCCTCATAGAAAGTGAAATTTCCAATATTTTGACAGCGTTTTTTGTATGTTATGTTGTTAATTCGAGGTTTGAATCGGATTTTATAATAATTAAGCTCTTTCAGTCTTGTTTGAGACTCGGCAACAACAATAAAATTATTGCACAACAATTATCATTTTAACCAAGTAAGTGAATATATTATATACCTACTGATATCGATACAATTATGGAATATTTTAGATATGGATTTGGAATCAATCAACAAGGCCTGTCTTTTTATAACAAAGGATCAAAAACACTGAGAAAATTATAAGATCTGGTATAAAGTGAAAGTTCCCAATATTTTCTACGATAGAGACCTCAAAATAATTGCAAATCTTTACTGGAACCAATAAACTATACAAATTAAGGTAGATCATAAAACTATTGTACAGAAATTATTATTTTAACCTAGTAAGTAAATATCTTATATACTTAGGTAATCGATACAATTGTAGCATATTTTTAGCTATGGATTTGAAATACTCGTTGAATTTGACGATAACGCAGTGTTGCTCCCAAGACGTACCACCAAAATGATTGGATCATATTAAGCAGTTTATTGATGGAAAATATTCGCTTTTTGAAATCGTTGTCTTAAAAAATGTATGTTTTTAATAAAAAAACGAGGCCCCTTTCCCATCAAACGTTGGTTCCAACCAAGGATAATACACACTACTACTACAGGATAGCCTATCCTCATAAGGCCTGTGTGGAACAAATCCACTCTCTCCCCAACGTTAAATCACCAGTTGTGACGTAAGCAGCATGTTATTTCTCGCCTTGACGTAGGTTGTTTAAACAGCTGATGACTTAGTTATGGCGTCGTAAATGGTAACACACGAGGTCAATGAGCAATACTGTAGGTGTGTATCATCCTTAAGTTCGAACAGCCTCTACCAGGTACACCATGAAGCTAGCTGCTGGACCCTCATAGTTACGTCACCACCACAGCATCCTGTTATAAGACACATCAAACTTGACACATGTACTCTAAATGGCGCCACGGACGTGACCCAGGTCGCTATGACGTCATCACAGAACCCGAACCATGAATCGAACTTTGCACTATGTACTCTAAATGGCGCCACGGACCCGCACTGACGTAACCCACGTGACCCAGGTCGCTATGACGTCATCACAGAACCATGAAACGAACTTCGCACTATGTACTCTAAATGGCGCCACGAACGTGACCCAGGTCGCTATGACGTCATCACAGAACCTGAACCCTGAATCAAACTTTGCACTATGTACTCTAAATGACTCCACGGACGTGACCCAGGTCGCTATGACGTCATCACAGAACCCGAACCATGAATCAAACTTTGCACTATGTACTCTAAATGACTCCACGGACGTGACCCAGGTCGCGATGACGTCATCACACAACCCGGAACGACTCAAAACTCCCGCTATGACGTCATGACGTTTGACAGATGACGTTTGACAGGTGACGTTTGACAGATGACGTTTGACAGGTGACGGTTGACAAGATGGCGGGAAAACATTTCCCCCCACCCCTTTTTCTGGTACCCATATTAAAATCCGGGGGCCCCTTTTTGGGGGGCGCAGCCCTGTGGGCCCCCTTTTGGGGGGCGGAGCCCTACGGGTCCCAACTACAGCATCCTGTATTACGAACTTCACACTATGTACGCTAGATGGCGCCATGACGTTTGACAAGATGGCGCCGACGATGCATCCACCTTCGTGTCAACGGCGGCGCATCCACCACGTGTCAAGAATGAAAGATTGAGGTTATGGTCGGATTTTTATGCTTGAATCCCCTTTGACTATCTACTAGTGTGCACTGAGCCAAAGTATTCAGCAAAAAGTTCAGCAGCTTGAGGTCCCATAGTGTTTTGGTTGGAACTAGATGGTAGTTTACTAGAATTTTGTAAAGAGCTTGTGTAGGACCAGAATGCTATAGGGCTGATTCAGTGTTCATTATATGGTTTTGCAAGCTCAATTGCGAGAGATTGCTACACTGGGAACGTAAGTTGGAGAAGTTTTGATAACCAAGAGGAAGTGTATGCTTTGCTTGTATTTTTGATAAGCGATTTTCTTCTATATGGTAAGGTGCTTTTAGGCCTTGTGAGAACCATTCGGGAAACTTACTGCTGGCTATTTTTCTTATTATACAATACATCCATAGAAAAGGTTTAATATTTCGTGAAAAATGATGATAGAGGGCAACATTTCTATATGTAGTAAACTTTTTTGAATTATTTTCCATATCTAAGTACTTCCTACGAAGTCTTCAAGTCTCTTCAGACTTGCTCAAAAGATTTTTCTCAAAAAAAAAAAAAAAAATAGAAACCTAATTTCCCTGTGTTTGTGTAGGTATTACCAGATTTTGGACGTAGATTTGAGAAATACCTACCTATTAAATTCAGTTCTATAGATTGTGTTACCAAGCAATGTATCAAAGAAATAGAAATAGCAGTTGAAGAAACAAAGACTACTTTTGAGAAAGATGAACTTACCTGCAAAAACCATTATAATTGATAGGTACTCAGGGATTCGGACTCTTTATTAAATTAGCTTTAATTAAACAAATAGGTAGGTATTATAATAGGGAATATGGTATTTACGCCTAGATTATTACCTTTTATAAATAACCAAATAAATTATTCATAAAAAACAAAATGTTTTAGATTTTGTATATGTAATTACTAACGTTGAATGTCTGATGATATATCTTCGCATGAAAACGCGCTCAATTGCGCAAGAAAGACAATGTAATAAATGTAACTAGTTATCCCATAAAAAACCATGACAATTACGTAATTTGACCTGAAATTGTGTGATCTATGTAGACTTTGATGATCTTGCCCTCGTTCACCTTCTTCTGAATAAGTTAAGAAAAAAATAAATCCATTGCAGTAAGTGGTTAGTTGTTTGTATATAGTAACAAGACATTGAGTTTTTAGTAAAACTTATGTAATTTGATATCTTGTATACCTACTTAAATTGCAAACTTCAGCAAAACTGTAAAATTTAAAGTTGTGGAAAATCTTAGAAATTATAATGTGGAGGATTATAAATTTACAAAAATTATCAGTGACAGAGATTTTACTCAGTTTCCTATTATGGGCGGCTTTGATATGGTTTTTACAAGTTTTATGGAAAAGGAGACACTTGTACAAAGCTTCCATTGGCTTACCTGGTCCATTGGCTTTACCTTTCATAGGGTCAGCGTTCTATTTTATTGGAAATCCTTATGGTGAGTAAACTTTTATAAAATAAATAAACCATCCGAAGTATTACAATCGAAACTGAAGCAAAATTTTTTGTTCATTAACACATAAAAGTGTCCCCAGCTTCTTTTGACGAATAATTGTTTTTTTTTTTTTAGTTATATGACCAAAATTTACATAACTTAATCATAAGGAAATTGTTTTTCACAGATACTTTTGGTCAAATAACCCAAATGTTCAACCAATACCCCAGCATATTTCGAGTTTGGTTCGGTCCAAGACTATTTTATGCAGTATCGGATCCAAAATATTTCGAAATATTATTTACCAGCCCTCATATGCTGGGAAAAGAGAAACTTTACGAATTGGCATCGCCGGTGGTTGGTGAGGGACTTTTCTCCGCCATGTCAGGTCTGTATTTAACTAACATGAGTTGTAAATATTTTATATAGTACCTATGTAACTTCAATATCTAAACAGAATTAAGAATTAATGAAGAAAATGATTTTTGATATGGCTTTGAAATGCAGCACATATAGCTGGTTGAAAAACCTAATTTCAATTTACAATAATTATAGTGTCTCATTGGAAGAAACACAGAAAAATAATCATGCCAACGTTTAATCAAAAAATCCTGGACAGTTTTATGGAAGTGTTCGTTGAACAATCTCAAATTCTCAGTAGCGTCCTGGAAAAATATGTTAATCAAGATGTGGATATTTCCAAGCTGATTACCAGGTGTACTTTGGATATTATTTGTGGTAAGTTCAATAGGAAAAAATGTACTTTGTATGCCTTTATTACTTTTTAGAAACCGCAATGGGGGTCCAAATAAAAGCACAATCTTTGGAGTCAGAGTTTCCTAAATGGGTTGATAGGTATAATAACTTTTCTGTAAGTACGTGATTTTTGCAGCTAAATTTCAATTTTTTTAGAGTGCTGGAAATCGTCATGATACGCATTTTCAATATATTTTATCACAGTGAGGTAATATTTAGAAATTCGCCGTTGGGAAGGGATTTTTATTATTGCACTGGCAGGATACGATCTTTCACGAGAGGAGTGAGTAATGAATATTTTATCTACATTATTATACGTAACAAGTGCAGAAAGTTATCTTTTCACACACACACAAGTAATAAATAAACTGATAAGCAAAGTGTAATTTTGCGAAAGCTAATGTATGATATAGAAACTATCTAGGTAGGTATACCTTTCATAAAAACTTAATTTTAGGTTGTAGCAGAAAAGAAAGCAAATTATAAGAAGAACCGTATCGTGCCTGGGTCAGGTAATGTTTCAATGCCAAGATATACGCATGAGAGCCAACTCAAACTTGCACATTTTTTATTAACCTAATTATTAACTTTTCACCTAATAGGATGGTATATCTAATAATGTTGAATTTTGAACTGAAAAATTTAAACACGACTGGACTTTGTTAGTAGCTTGACTATCCAAAGAAAGGTTTGGTGGAAAATATTCTTTGTCTTCTTTGCCTTTGATCAAAACAGCATTATTTTTCTTAAACTCAGAGTTTTTGGTTCAAAATACTTCGTAGGTATTTTTAGCGAAACTTTGCACATTTATATAATTTTTTCTTAAAATAAGCATAAGTTGGATCGGTTCACATGCAAGTACCTATGCATTTCTTTAATTAAGTTAAACCTATAAAATTGATCTGTTTTTATAGGAACTCTAAAGAGGAAAGCATTTCTGGATTTATTAATAGAAACAACGAATGATGGAGACGTTCAATTGTTCACAGATGAAGAATTAATAGATGAAACAATAACATTGATGGTCGCTGTGAGTAATACTTGCGAGGTCAAACAATAAATTTTGAATGGTGAAAAAAGCAAATACCTACCTATTACATGTTGTTTTTTTATCAATATGCAATGTAAACTCTTTGTTGTGCCAAATTGTTTCTTTGATTGATTTGAACCAGTACCTAAATGTTCTGACCTGACTGAATTTTTAAGCGGACCTATTATAATCATCTAATTTTTCTTTTTTTTTAGGGTTCAGATACAACTGCTGTAACCAACTGTTTCACATTGACAATGTTGGGCATGCACAAAAATATTCAGGTGATTTAAATATTTCCTTATTATTTTCTTTTAGTATTGCTTAACTGTTTCCTCCACTATTTCCTATGAATAAAGAGTTAACCAAAAATTCACAACTTTTACATTATAACAGGCTTCATGTACAATCCATTAATTTTAGGAAAAAGTCCTAACTGAAATCTTGGAAGTCGTCGGCCCAAAAGGCAATGTAGAACTGAGCCATTTACCCCAACTGAAATATTTGGAAAGAGTAATCAAGGAAACATTAAGGCTGTTTCCAATAGGCGCTTTTTTAGTGAGAACTGCTGACAATGATGTAGATTTAGGCAAGCTTTAAGCATTTGTGAAAACCTTTTTACTTTACTGATAATTTTTTAGGCGACTTCGTAATCCAGAAAGGATGTTCGGTCGTTTTCGGAATACTCAGAGCTCATACCAATGAAAAATACTGGCCAGAACCTTACAGCTTTGATCCCGATCGGTTTTTACCCGAAGAAGTAGCGAAAAGACCTGCAGCAGCTTATATACCTTTCTCATATGGCCCAAGAAATTGCATTGGTAATCACTAAACTAATTTAGAAGTTTATATTTAATTTGATCTTTTTAGGACTTAAATATGCAATGATGGCAATGAAAACCCTATTAGCCACAGTAATACGGAAATATAATGTTTCTACTTCGTATAAAAGTGTCAGAGACATTGAGTTGAAAACTAACTTGGTTTTGAGGCCGAAAGATGGCTACAAAATAAAGTTTGAACTAAGAAATTTGTAATGAATTGTATAAAAGAAATAAAATATTATGAATATGTTCAAAATACAAAATGTTCCTAGCTGGAGTTTTTTGAAAAATAATGAAAAAAGTTTCACATTTTCATTAGCATTTGATATTAGGTAACCGAACACATGATTTCGGTGTCAGTAGGTAAGTAAAAAAGGAGAATACCCTAAGGATTTTTTCCGAGGATTTGAATTCATTGGTTGGAATCAACAATAAGATCAATAATACTTTCACGCTATTTTTTAAATTTCAATCACTAATGAACCTCACTAAGCACAACGAAGAATGCACAACTCTTTCCCAATTTAACCGTCTTATATCTAAAACTATAGAAAAAGTCCCATTGGTTTCTCTTTGGATTTAAAAAAAATACTACATTATCACACCCTGTATTTTCAAGGAAAAAAATTCAGTTATTCAGGCCTGATTTGATTAAAATTAGAGCATCAAAAAATATGCGTGGTTACATTAAATGTATGATACTCATTATATAAAACTATGAAATGAAATACCCATATTGAAAACGGTATAGTTGTTCAGTATAGGGGCACTTACATGGTACTGATCTTCCGGCTTTCTCTCTTAAGTGGTACACGTTTGTCGCGAAAATATTAGTGCCAAAGTCGCATCCTGGCTGATTAAAGCATATCTGTTTGTGAGTTTGTATAGTGAATACTTAAAATATAAAGTAAGTACCTACATACCTTCAGTTTTAAAATAGAGTTTATCTGATGAATGGTCTCTTCCTTCTTGTACCTATTTCTTTATTTTTGAATGATTGAGATGTTGTCTTTTTTACAAGTTTTATTTGAAGAAACTTTTTTTTAGAACTAGATGCTTATTGTATGTCCTGTTAAAGAACTTGGAAATATTTTCCTTCTTGATAAATAGCATGGGAAACTGGAGTACTTATTCTACTATTTGAACTCTTGTGAGACTTTAACTGTAAAACTAAGTTGGATAATTTTTTCTCTGATGCTGAAATGTTTTGTCTAGAAATTTGAGTTTGTTTGAAAATAGTGCATAATGCAAAAATATTATTCAATACCTAGAAAACTGTAACAATAGAAACTGTGAACTGGGATTATGAAAAGAGGTTTTTCGATTCTAAGGGGTATGCAAGGAAACTTCATTTCCAAATAATTCAAAGGGGCCTATTTTAGAAACTAGGAATGCTATCCGCGCGAAATTTCATCCAATTTAAAATCTTGAATCGGGCTTCAAAAAATCTTATTTGGGGCACCGAGCAATAGAGCTTCGTTTTTGAAATATTCGGCTTTCAAGGTTTTCCAAAATATGAGACAAAGTTTCAACTTTGGGACTCAAAATCTTGGAAACTATTTGAGATAAATGATTCAATTTTGTTTTATCTTTAAAGAGCATTTAATTCTGATTAGGAACATATAAATGTCGGATGATCAAGATTTTTCAGGGCCAAAAATGCAAAACTTTGTTTCATAATTTGGTTTTTATTGATGTGATATAAGTTTTACATCTACTTGAGCATGGCATTATGCGTTAGTAGTTATGTAAATTTCTACCTCAAATCTATTTAATTTATAAGAACGTGTTAACCAAGAATTTATTTAGTCAAACTTCTTTTTAAACTTGAGACAAAGATAATCGAAACTGCTCCAAATGAAACTTATTCCTATTTTTCTCTAGACTTAAATTACCATCAATTTCTTAGGCCCTGTCAAGCCTTGTGTAATTGTAATTGTAATTTCTCGTACCTACTCGCAAAATTGCTATAAGTTATCCACCTTATAGGCAAAATTGTATGTGTATACCTACGCAAAATGCATGATCATGGTATGGCCGTTAAATACGATTTCTATAAAATGAAACTTTTCCTCTTATCAAGCCACTGCCTATTATTCATTAAAGAAAGCGTATGGATGCATTAAAGTATAAAATCTGGGTCAGCAAATACACGAGAGGACTTCGCTTCAATGGATCTAAGAGCGTGAAATCTGCAATTACCAATTTAATATTCATCTAAAGAATTCATGAAAGACGTTTAAATATTGTATTGTTGTTTATTAATTCTATTTATTTTGTTTGTCTAAAATTTCCAGAGATCTACATTGACTTTGTTATATGTGCATTCTTTACATCCGTTCTTGTTTCTCTCGCGAGTTCATCGCAAATTCTTTTAAGTGATAGTTCGGTACCATAGTCGAAGAAAGCACTGATTGAAGGATCATCTTCTTGGAGAAATTAAAATAATAGCCTTTATTAGGATATTTATTAGCTTTCGCTAGGAACACTCCTTTGTGAACCACATATTTTGTTGACTATCTTTATTAATTTTTTGCCTTTTATCAGTTCGTTGAGTTTTATGTAGTTGGCAGTTGAAAAATTGAAAAATTTCGTTCTCTCGCCCTATATCTGGAAATATAATTCCCAATAAGCTCAAAGTTGCAGCATTTGTATTTCTTCACTACAACTATATTCTAGGAAAATTTCAAATTAATATGATATAGTTAGATTGGAGTTATGATATTTCCATAGCTTTCTCAAAATTTAAGTAAGAAGACTCCCCTCTTCCTTCAAAGATGTTGAAATTTGAAGTTTTTCTATGTCGATATTTTGACTTAAAATGATTTTTTTCTATTTTGGTGTCATATCGAAGTCTTTTCGACACTAAAAGTAGTTTCGAAAAGAAGCTCTTTGTGATACTCCTTTTTTACTTATCGGAGGTTGGTAACACTGGCTGACTGATGGCCGTCGAACTGTCATTCACGATCAATGAACTATAGCTAAAAACTGGAATGCGCACACATTGCCATATCTGCCAAAAAAATGAAGCCATGAAAGACAGATGCCACAAGGGGGAATGTTGTTTTTTTCTGTTGCTCGCTGACATATGACGTTTTCAAAAGTTTTGTCATATTTCCCTTCACAGGTTTCATCAATTGGAATACGTGTTGGAAGCAATTTTCGCCATTTAACATAATGAGTGCGACAAAAACAGGTATTCCCTCCGCAGCAGCCGCACTAGGCTTCACGTTCGTCCTTATGTGTTAGCATTCCAGTTTTTGGTTATAGTTCATTGTTCACGATTTTATAATAGAAGATTTCTATATTTGGTACGTAGTGTTACCAACCTAAACATATAAAATCAGGAAATATGAGAATAAAATTTCCAAGAAAAAATTGTTTTTTTTAATTAAACAATACCAAAATAGAAAAAATAGTATAAAATATTCGTTTCATAAGACATTTTATCGCACTCGCCCTTTAGAAAAATATAGGGCTCGTGCGATAAAATCACGTCTTATGAAACTTGTATTTTAATGTACTAATCTGGGGCCACACAAACTTCATACTGGCAATCAATGCAAGATTGAAAGCCGGAATGTTTTAAAATAGCTCAGTTGAAAGATCATAAAATTTCGTTCTACTGAGCTTTTATCGAATTTCTATCTCTGAAACTGTAATTTTCAATGAGTTAAAAGCTGCCAGCTTTGTAGACATTCACAACAACAAGATTCTCAGAAACTTTCAGATTAATATCCTTGATACAGTTACAAATATAATTCCTCATACCTGTTGTGTCCTTTTAGTGATAATTAAAGACGCAATATTTTTTAGTTTATTTGAAACCATAGAATATTTGAAACTTGCAAAAAATGACACTCCCTAGACAGACATAAAAACTGGTGTCACCTTAGGTATGTTACCAGCTCCAACATATCCCTTCCTTGGGAATAGAAACTTAAATTTAAAATGAAACCTTACAAACCTTTACATAACATAATCTCTGAACTTAATTGGTAATTGAACAATACGACCACTGCGCATGACTCTTTCCAAAAGAGTCATTCTTTGGGTCTTTCTTAAAGTTTAGTTTACTTGAACATTATTTTGGTTTTGGCTGCTGCTAGTTTCAAGCAAATTACTATTAGCAGTAGTGTTACTAGAAGAAGAAAACTGATCATTATTCTTAATTTGATTATGATCATCTGCACAATTATTTGGTGAATTATCAATTTCAAATTTTCTATTAGTATAGGTTTTATTTGACTAAAACTTCTTCTAATACCGTTACCATTTTTGTTCATGACATTAAAAGATCTGGGAGCAGAATGGTTATCAATCACTTCCCTTTTCCCCAAAATTATTGTTTTTAATTAGTACATTATCACCCGGTTTCAAATTTTGATAAAAATTTGTCGCGTCTTTGTCATGATTACTTTTATAATATTCTTGTTTAGCTACGAGTCTATTATGTGCATCTTTAGGAATTGCCGGTCCTAGCAATTCTGTATGAATTGGAAGTTTGGTTTCAGTTAGTCTATTCATCAACATCTGGATTGGAGAAATACCAATACTAGAAACAGGGGTGTTCCTAAACTCCAGCAATGCTAGGTGAATATCAATATTATCATGAGAACATTTTTTAAACATCAGTTTAGCTGTTTGAACTGCCCGTTCGGCTTGACCATCACTGGGGGGTTACATTGGGATTAAACCTAACTCCATTTGCAATAGCTCTTTTCAAGACATATTCCAAAATTTGATCATGCTCCTCAGAGGACTCAGCAGCTATCAACAGGTCATCAATGTACACTTGCACACCCTTAAGTTCTCCAAAATTTTTTCGATTTATGACTTGAAAATACTCTGGCGTCATATTGAGCCCGAAAGGCAATCGATTAAATTTATAACAACCAGAGTATGTCGCAAAAGTACAAAGATTACTAGATTTTTCAGTAAGCTCTACATGCTACAAACTTTCTTTCAAGTCAAGAACTGTAAAAAAAAACATTCCTTTGAGTTTTTAAACTATATCTTCAAGAGTAGGAATGAGTACATATGCAGGCCTTTTAATTTCTAAATTTAAATCTCGTGGATCCAAGCATATTCTTAATGAGCCATCCTTTTTCTCGATAATAACAATATTATTAACCCAGCCAGAGGGCTTTGCCCACTCTTGAAATAATTTTTCTATGTTCTAAACTTAATAAGGTTTCCTTTAATTTGTCACGAATGGCAAAAGGTATCGTTCTGGGTGGATTAATAACAGGTATAGCCTCATTATTTACTTGAATTTCACATTTATCTTTAAACTTACCAAGACCTTCAAGTAATTCAGAGTTATTATTGTCAAATTCATCCTTAGTATTAAACTTACTCAGATTATACAACTCACTGTACATTATTCCCATATGACACGAGAGGCTTAATAAGTGATAAGCCTTTTGGGATTATCGCGCTTGGTGGCATTTATGGCAAATTCTATTGTAGAATTTTTTTTTTAAAAAATTTTAGAGTATGTATTATAGTTTAGTTCATTGTATAACCTTTTGAATACCACTCGATGTTTCAGGATTACCTAATACTTTTACCTGACACTCAACGCGTTACCAGCAACACCACTCCTCCTTCGGAGTCGTGGTGTTGCTGCGTAACGCGTTTCGTGACAGCTAAAAGTATTATCCGGTAATCCTGAAACCTCTTGTGGTATTACATTCGATAATCTATATTTTCCTTGTGTAGAGCAACTAGATTTAATTTTGCACAAGATTCAAGTCCCAGTAGAGGATAAACAGCTAGCTTTATCCACAATTATAAAATCAGCAATAAATTCAACAATTTTACACTGCACTTCCAGCGAAACTACTCCTACAGGCTTCACTACACTACCTCCAAATACCTCTAAAATTATTTTTGTATCTCGTAGCTGAGGCTCTGGAACGCCAACTTCACTCAACATTTTACGTGACAGTACATTTACCACCTGTGTCTAATTTAAATTTAATAGGCACATGATGATCACCAATAATTACATTATGAAACCATGAGTTAATTGATAATACTTTTTCCTACGAGCGTGCGCAAAGTAGTACTTTTCCGCACGCATTTCCGGGCTCAAAGTTACACTTTTCCGCACTCAGTGCGGATACAGGCCTTATCCGCACTGAGTGCCGAAAAGTAATTATAATTGTCAAGCAACAATAAGTGCACCTGTCGACTTTGACACATGATGACAAATTTTTCCTCTATTTCTATATCAGCCAACATCTATACAAACACCAATTATAAATTAACTTTGACCCATCAGATTTGTTCTCTATTTATATGCAAAAATCTATAAACTTTCTCATCAAATTTAAACGCTTTAAGATGAACAGCTCTGACGAGGACTTTCTGTTATTTGTTTCTGTTATGTAATTTTTTGATAAATGCATAGGTTCCTTTCAAGTTAATTAAAAATAATTAAACAAATTATCGTTTTTTTTTTTTTAATTTTTGTTATTACCTACCTGATATGAAGCTCGTAGGAAAAATGTTGTTCCTAACACGTGCGCAAAGTGTCTTTTCCGCACGCAAACACGTATCCGAACTCCGCTTCGCGTCGTTCGTATAACTGTGTTTGCGTGCGGAAAAGTAACACTTTGCGCACTTGTTAGGAAAATAACTATATTAATCTGGTTTTTTATTCCAATAATATTTATTGCGAACTTAGCCTCATCAGACTCCTCCTCCTATTCTTGTAACACTATTACATTTTTAACATGACATGAAACTGCAAAATAATTTAAGGTCGCGTTAATGGCCGCCATGTTTAAACTCTGATTGGTTGACTTTTCGAAACTTGTTTTAAGGTCTTCAAAAAAACGGCACATCAGAATTGGCTCAAATTTGGCATAAACATTATTTGATCGATTATCTACAATTCTTTATTTTGGTTTTTCGATATTCAGTCTTTTTTTTTAAATTCAAAAATCATGTTCGCAACAACCAAAACAATTAAATGTGTTGGTGGTTGCATATTTGCATGTTTATCAAGCTTGGATCCGTGAAAAGCATATTTTATTGATAACCACGAAAAACTAAAAAAAGATAATTGCAGAGATTGTAGATAATATATCAAAATATGTTTATGCCAAAGGATTTTGGAAATTATTGCGGATTTTTTGAGATGAGCATAAAACGAATTTTGAAGGTGAAAACAGGAAATTATTTCTTCAATTTCTAGTGGTGGATTGACTTTCGAAAAACGGCGCTGTCCCTTTAAGTTTGACCCACCTGTAGAAATACTCACGAGCCGCGCCTGACAACAACATTCTCAGGAATTTTCAGATTAATCCTTGACACAGTTAGAGACATAATTCCTTATATTATCATTTGGGGCCACTAAAACTTTATACCATTTATTAATCAATTCAAGATTGAAAGCTGAAATGTTTTAAAATAGCTCAGTTGAAACATTATAAAATTTCGTTTTATTGGGCTCTTGTCTTTGTCGAATTTCTATCTCTGGTACTGTAATTTCCAATGAGCTAAATGCTGCAAGATTTGTATTCCTTCACTACAACAACATCCTTAGATTAATATCCTTGATACAGTTACAGATATAATTCCTCACAACTTTTAGAAACTTAACCTGGAAGATTCTCCCGTTTTTCCACGTTGGGATTTTTATTTGAAATAATCATTTCGCACCTCCCAATCACCAGAATCTCAAACAATGCAAAATTGAAAGCCGGAATGTTGGTAAATAGTCCAGATGAAAAATTAGGAAATTGATAAAATTTCGTCTTCAACAAATTTGGATTTCTGGAACTACTACTTATAATTACAAATAATCCGAGATTCCCAAGATTTGTAGTTTTTTGCTACAAATATATTCTCAGAAAACTTTATAATATCTAGCTAGCTAGTTGGATATAATATGGTTTCTCGAAATTTTCAAACATTTCACTCAGAAGACTTCTCACCATTGAGTTTTCTAGTGTGGAATCTGGGATCAGCAAATTAGAATTTGTTGTGGTTTAAGTTTCATACCAAACTTAAATTTGCTTACAAATGGAGTTCGAGCTTAGATTTATTCATATCAAACTTTTTGCACAAATTATAAGATGCAAAATATTTTCATTTATTCCTAAATACGTATACTTAGTTACTTTTTTGTGCATATAATTTATGCCAGGGGTCATAGAGTCGGGAATAAATTACCTAATTATTGAAAAAAACAGTTAAATTTATAAACAATCATCTGGACGTCGCGTCCACAGGGTGTCCCAAAAATATACTAACTTTGTTTTTTTAAAGCAAGAAATCTGATAATCGACAGGGATTTGCCTATTAAAAAAAAGTTGGCACGAAATTTCGAGACACTGTATAATATTTGGAAAAATTCTACTGTTTTTCAAATAACTGACCTATTCCAGAAACACTGCACTTATAGTAACTAATGCATTTTGTATCGATAAAATAATCAAAATTATAATATACCTACTTAAACTTGGCTTTTTCAGCATACCTACTTTCCTAAGCCAAGATAATCCACAATCGTTCTGACATGATATCTCTTTCATTTCAGGAAGCGTGGGCAATGGGTGTGCCTCAGCAAAAACTGTTTTCCAGTACGAAAAGCTTCAAAACTCACCTAAAAGACATGGACAATAATAACTATATTATGCCTGATATATCAATAAATAATATATCAAAGTTTTATGAAAATACGAAAATTTTCATTACAGGAGCTACTGGTAAGTAATTATGGGACATTTTATAATAGTTAATTAAAATTGAACCGTAGGTTTTGTTGGTAAAGCCCTAGTAGAAAAACTTTTAAGATCTTGCGATAAAGTTGATGCAATTTTTCTGTTGATGAGACCTAAAAGAGGAATTCCCGTAGAACAAAGACTTAAGGAATTTGTCAAAAATCCTGTAACTATTAATTAATTTTTTATATTTATTTTATAACAATACTAATTTCTCTATAGGTTTTCAATAGAATAAAAGACAAAAATCCAGACGCATTTGAAAAAGTCAAAGTAATTCCCGGCGATGTTGGGTTACCAAACTTGGGATTATCCGATGAAGATAGGATATTTTTGATTAAAAATATTGATATTGTTTTTCATTCGGCTGCAACCGTTAAGTATGAATTTTGAATCAACGTTTCAATAATATAACTGGTTTTTATTATTGTGTTTTAGATTCAATGAAAATTTAAAAACGGCTATAACTTTGAACACATTAGGCACTAAAAGGATGTTGGAATTGTGTGAGAAAATGGAGAAATTGAAGGTAAGAACTTGAACTTTAATTATTTTTAAATATTACTATTGCTTTAAAAGAAAATACTTTTTTAAAGTTTCTTCCAATATTTGAGTATACTTTTTAGTCTCCAAAATTAATGTCTCTTCTAGAATGTTAAATGTCTTGGCATGGAGTGGGAAACTTTTGAAATAATTCCTATAAAGTATAATTTTTAACATTTCCCGGCTCTTGATTTGTTTAGTTTGGCTGATTGAATTTTTTCTGGTATGTGAATCTAACCTCATGTGGACTGTTGAAAATGTTAAAAAGCCTAATTTCCACAATTGAAATTCAAACTTTGCTAGGTACAGGGTGATCCAGTATAAAGTGAACACCCCCTACCTTTTCGCTAAAAATTTTTTTTTTGAAAAAATCAAGATAGCTAGTTAGAGTATTTTGTTTCTAGGAATTTGAAAACGTTTTATGAAATTTAATTGGATTTTTCGTTAAAGCGCTGTGACGACAAAAGTAATTTTTTTAAATGGAATAACCTTTATTTAAATCCATTTCTTAAACGCCCTTATTTTCCTCATTTCAAATATTTATAGTTTGTTTATCTTTATTTCAGTAATTTGGAATATATTCTCACTTAAGAATCTTAGGATTCAAATAGAAATAGCCAAAAAGGTATCAAGGTAAACCTAAATAATTTTACCTTTAATAAAACTACTGGTTATTATGTTTTATGATACCTTTTCGGCTTATTTTATGTGAATTTTGAAGTGAGAATACATCGCAAATTACTAAAATAAAGATAAACAAACTATATATTTGAAATGAGGAAAATGGGGGCGTTCAAAAAATTGATTTGAATATAGGTTATTCCATTTAAAAAAATTACTTTTGGCGTCACAGCGCTTTAATGAAAAATGTAATTAAATTTCAAAAAACGTTTTCAAATTCCTAGAAACAAAAGACATTAAATGGCTATCTTGATTTTTTGAAAAAAATTTTTTTTAGCGAAAAGGTAGGGGGTGTTCACTTTATACTGGATCACCCTGTACCTACCTACCTAAGTTACCTAATTTTTGGTTTTTGCTTATTGTATTCAAAAACTTGTAAAAATTAATAATTTACTTTGGCTCTTGATGAGGTTTGTTTGATTTGATAGTTTTTGAGTTATTAAACCAATGCAATCAAATGTTAACTTATATTTTGTTATTTGTAATTCAAAATGTTGACTATTCTCGGCTTTTGATTGGCTTACATTGTTTTGATTTCATTAGTTGAATTGTTCCTACCTACAAGTTACAACTTACCCATTCAAGAGAGGAAAATATTCAAAAGTGAATTGCAGAAATCAAAATTGAACTTTTGACCTTAATTCAAATCAATTTAAAACACATATAGGTACTCACTTAACATTAATTTGTGAATAGCAAAACCCATGAAAATATAACATCAACTTAGGATTCCATCTGTTTTTCAACTGAAATGAAAATTATTATTATTAGAGTTGCGTCCACGTCTCTACAGCCTTTTCCAATACCGACAAAGACATCATAGACGAACAAGTTTATAAACCATCCTACGACGCCTACGCTATGATAAATCTTATCGAAAACCTTCCAGATGAAGTTATAGAAAGCATATCTTCACAATTAGTCGTAAGTATTTAAAAATCAAATTTAAAAAAATCTGGTAGCATGTTTGCATTTCCAGGGCAAACATCCAAACACTTACACTTTCGCCAAAGCATTAGCCGAACAATTAGTTCTGGAATATTCTGGAAACATTCCACTTGCCATTGTACGACCTTCGATAAGTAAGATAAAGAAGTGTAATAATTATTAAAATTTTTACTGCTCCCTATAGAAATTTGTAACCTCGATAATCATAAATTGTTATTTTAGTCACAGCAGCATGGAAAGAACCATTTCCAGGTTGGGTGGACAACATAGGCGGCATAACTGGCATTTTAATGGAATGCGGCAGAGGCACAATCAAATCCATAGTCTGTGATGACAAATGTCGTATGGAACTAATTCCAGTTGACATTGTCGTTAATACTTTACTGACCAGTGCCTGGCATACGGTCGCTTATGGACCTACCGCTATGCGAGTTTATAATTGTACCAGTGGTAAACTGAACCCGGTCACTTGGAAAGAATTTGGAGAGTACACGCACAAGTACAGTCTTAAATGGCCAAGCAAATATGTCACGTGGTATCCAGGTTTTGTTTACAGGACCAACACGACCGTGCATAATGTTTGCACAATGTTGTATCATAATATTCCTTCGGCTTTGTTGGATGTGTTTTTGTATTGTACTGGGAAAAAGCCTATGTAAGAATATATTATGACTGGTATTGGGGTTATTGACTGTATATTTTTTCCAGGATGTTGAAAATATCTCGTAAATTTAACCAGGCCTTGATCGCCGGTAGTTTTTCGTCTACAAACGAATGGAATTTCGAATCTGCATCTTACAAGAGTTTGGCTAAAGCAGTGGAAAATGCTGAAGATGGTGAGTTTTTCAGTGTAAACATAGCTTCAAACAGCGGTTTCGATTGGGACGAATACGTTGGAGAGTTTGTGAAAGGCGTGAGGCAATATATTTTGAAAGATGACATAAGTAGTTTGCCTAAAGCTTTAAGTAAACTTAACAGGTGACATTTTGTACTTTTTTGTTTCGAATTTAAATCTTAAAGTATTTTTATTTTTTTAGATTATATTGGTTCCGGATAATATTTCAGGCCCTTGCCGGCCTTCTAGCTTTAAGAATGAGCATCGCTTACTTTTAAAATGTACCTAGGCATTATTTATCCAAGAAAATTAAATTTTATTAATTAAAATCTATATAATTTATAGTAAATTATATTCAAAATAGGCCTATATATTATGTGTCTGTGTATATAAAAATATTTATTTAATGTAACAATAATTTAGTTTTTCATTTTTTGAATAAATACTGAACTCATACAGGGTGATCAATGTAAAAACATTTCAGCCCTATCATTGAAAAATCATAGTCGTTTGTTTTTTTTTATCTGCCAGTGTCCAGGTCTTAATAATTCCTGCACGATCATGAACTTTTCCAGATTTAATTTGACAAAAATATATTATCAACATTAATTATTGTTCCAATTAATGATTGCAATAATTTAAAAGTCTGGAAGTAGATATAAATATTTATAGTTTCTGTTACAAAATTCAGACTTCAATGAGGCTGTTAATAATTGCGATAAGAATTTTTGTCATCATACTTTTACACAAATCCAAATTATACCGATTAAATGGAATATTTTATGTTGTTGTTTATCAAATTATGCAAAAAGTTTAGACAAATTGATATTGACCAATCAAAACATTGATATACTAACATCTTTAGCAAATTTATTGGCGCCAAAGAGCCTGTAAAAATTAAAAGGCCGTCTAAACAAACTGTATATCTGGAATGGCTCGATTTAATTACTTTCTGCTCTATATTTTTCAAACTTTCCCGGATTTTGATGTTTATGTTTTCCAATATTTTTTTAATATCATTGAACCAATATATTAATCTCATAATGTTATTTCACAATAATTTAAATACCAATCAGAACTACCAGAAAAAAGTATCTCAGTTACTTTTAGTAGGTAGTTAAGATACTATATCTTGAATACTTATTATTTTTTAGTGAAAGTAGGTATCTGGTGTAATGATATAGTGAAATACCTTTAAAAATTAGGATTTAATAAACAAGATTTATACATGACATTCAAAAATTAGGAACAGCTTATGACATGACAATTAATACAGGTCATCAAAACCATTATCAACGATACAGAAGATATCAAAAGTAGTTCAATGTCTCGCCTTTGTTCTGTGGGAAAAGGCCCCTGTAAAAGATCTTTACTTTCTTCTGACAGTTCTGACTGAGTAGGCGTATTTATAACATGGTTATCAGCATTATTTTCCGATTGCAGTAGACTATTATCACCACATGGACCTAAATGTTTTAGCGAAACCGTTGCTTCTTCATCCATCTGAAAGTCGAGCGAGTGCATATTGAGGGTCAGCTTCAATGAAATCAATCTCTTCAACGAGAGGATCGTACTTCGAGTACCTATCTAACATGCTTTTTTATATAAATTTTTCCAGAAATTAGCGGTGGAGCTATTGCTGTATCATTCATTAATTTTCTTAAATGACGTAACATTCTTACATGTGCAGTATCTAATCGAATACAATGTATCTTCTGGAACCGTTTCCCAGTATTAAATTTTTAAATTTCTTGAGCAAAACGCGCGAAATTTACATATAAAAAAGATGTCCTAATCTGGTTTCAGTAACTAATCTGGATTAAGTCCTTACGGTGCATTTAGACGTTAGACTTTCAGAAGTCTATTGACATGAATAAGTGAATGGAAAGCGAGAATACTCGTCGACGGTAGTAAGTATATATTTGATCCTTCAATCAGATGGAAGAGGGTATTTGAAGTTTAGAAATATTCTCTCGAAAGCCGCATAAGTGGCTTTTATTTTCAATTCTGCACAGATTATGCAAGACGTTGACATAATGCCGAATATATCTTCTACAGAGTGGGACATATTACGAGATCTTACCCAGTGGACCATTCTAGTGATAACAGGATGACATGAAGCTTGATGTAAATCGAATACATTTTTCTGACTATTTGAACCACATACTCGAGAGGATGTATCAGCTATTACATTTTCTCGTCCTGGTCTATATACAGGGTGAGTCCGAAATAAGTGCGCATTTTGTCATGATAGATAGATCACAGTAGGACAATCACTTTTTGCATAGGTACATGTGTCTGTATTATAATAAATATTTTCTAAATAAAGCAAACTTGCTAAAGTCTGTTTTTTTTTTAAAGATAATTCCCCAAGTCAAAAATTTAGTAACTATGTTGGCAACACAAGCCTTTTCTACATAAAAAATTTGGGAGATTGACAATTTTACATTGTATTGCCAACATAATGTCATTTTGACTTTTATCTTTAAAAAAAAAACAGATTTTACTTAATAGTTTTTATGTATTTATGACAACTGTCAACCTGTGACTAACGTTAATGTCGTTAATGACTATTACCACACCTCACTTTTTATGGATTTATGGAAATACATTAAGACTAAACACTAAACAATGCGGATATTTATTTATTTATTCATTTATTTATTCATTCAAAGTATCAACAGCAGAGCCAATTACAGATACTGACTTATAAGTAATAATACAAGAATACAGATAACATTTAACATACTCTTAAAACCTACTTACAATCTCAACAAAGTTGATCAATCACAACATACAGAGAAATACAATTTAGGATGAATGCATCAGTTTCCTGTCAATTATCATTTTGAATGCCTTAAAACTAATAATGTCTATATCTACATCTGAGGCATAAAGGTTAAATAGATCACACAAATTATAGATCGGAGAACACTTATAAAGATTGGTTCTAGGGTAGGCCAAGTAAAAGACATTTTTACTCCTTGAATTGATACGATTTATAGCAAAAGGAAGCTGTTCCAAAATACTTGGACAGTCAATATTATTGGTCAAAATCCCATACATAGTGCACAAAAATATTCTTATCCGCCTTTTCTTCAGTGACAGTCTATTGAACACACCCAACAAATAGTCATTGCTACAGCCAAGCTGGGGATAAACTCCAAACTTTCTGAAATACAGACATTTCAAGAATTTTCGCTGCACACTTTCTATAATTTCACTCCAATTATGGTATTGGGGTGACCATATTATGCTGCCATATTCTAAGCTGGGCACAACGAGACTGTCAAAGAGAGATAAGCTTATGTCAATACTAAAACATTTTGTGTTTCTTGTAATGAAACCTGATACCTTCTGAGCACTAGAAATTTTTGACAAAATATGTCCCGAGAAAGACAAAGCAGGATCAAAAAACACTCCCAGATCTTTTTGCTCAGACACTCTTTTCAGTTTTACATTACCTATAGAATAATCATAAATGACAGGATTTTTATTTCGTGTGAATGACATGCATACGGATTTATCAAGGTTCAACTTGAGACTATTCTCAGAACACAATGCGACAATATCAGACACCTCTGTTTGGAGCACTGCACAATCCGTGATTGATGAGACTTCAAAAAACAACTTCAAATCATCAGCAAAACCAAGTGACTCAACATTCTTTACTCCCAACAATACTCTGTTAAATGCGATCAAAAACAAAAGTGGACCCAGGTTTGACCCCTGTGGAATACCTGATGTGCTGATCAGGGGCGTCGCGTCGGGGGGGGGGGGGGGGAATGGGGGTAATTACCCCCTCCCAGGATCCAAAATTCAAGGGAAAAATCACGATGCCCAAAAGAAAATACATAATAATATTAAAGAAAATACATTTTTTTTTTGTTTTATTTTCCTCACAAAGGAAATTATTGTTCTGGAAAAGTGAATGACCTTGAAATTGACAAAAAAATTCACCTGCGGCGCGTTAGCGGGGGGTCGCATCTTCCCATTACCCCCCCTAGACTGCAAGTCACGCGTCGCCACTGATGCTGATAAAAACTACTACTGATATTATCAATATCAATACATAACATAATCAGTAAACCTAGACGGTTTCTTAATACTACGATTGGACCTTGTATATCTGTGATTCTCACCTGGTGAGCCACTGTTAAATTTATTTGCCCTAGTATTCTCAATGATACAAGGCTCTGCAACAATACCATCATTTGAACCATCATTATCAGTTCCAAAATTGAAAGATTCATGTTTAGATAGGGTATTCTGCTCTAGACCAGAATCACCATGATTACTTTGTCTGCTTGATAAATTATGTTGAATTTCTGAGCGGCGTAGATGATTACTATTTCGCCTTAAAACATTAGAACCATTATTAATCAAGTAAGACCTTGAGGCCTCATGTATGTATAGTTGCAAGACGCCACTGCTTAACACCCCTATACACAACATTTTCACCTTCTTTAAAGTCTGGCCTTTCCTTAGAATGTTTATCATAATATTTTTTCTATAACTTATTTATATTTTCTAATTCACACCTGAATTCTTCAATTTTAAAACTATGTTCTTCAACTTCTTCAAGCAAAGGCAACTTAGTTTTTAATTTCCTAGAAAAAAAAGAGTTCAGCAGGAGACCTTTCAAGATTTGTAATAGGCGTTTTGCGATACTCCATCAGAGCAACCCACAAATCATCTGATTTCCGAATAATGTTTTTAGTTGCTTGCACAAATCTTTTAGCAAGTCCATTCGATCGCGGATATCTAGGGCTACTTTTCTGAAATTTAAAGTCAAGCTCATTCGCAAAACAGTTACATTCATACGAATTGAAATGCATATTATCTTATACTATTCCATTTATCGCAAATAGGTGTTTGTTTTAAAACACTGATAACATGGCAAGACTGTTTTCCTTCTAGAAACATAATTTCTAATCACTTAGTTAAATAATCTACAATTACCAAATATGATTTTCCTCCATAGTCCATGATGTCACAACCTAAGTTTTGGAAAGGTAACTCAGGAATATCATGTGATATAAATGTTTTTTTTTTACATTAGCATATCTATATCTTTCATACAACTGACACTGCCGAATCTCCTCATCAATATTTATGCTCATTCCAGGCCAGAATAATACTCTCCGTGCCCTATCTCTTGTACGAGTTATGCCAAAATGACCTTCATCTAGTACTTTTAGCATATTTTACCCAATAATTGAGGAACCACCACCTTGTCATTATAAAAAATGTTAAGTTGCAAAAAATTCCCAGTTTTCCTTCATATTTTTTATTTTTCCAACCATTCAAACAACATTCAATAACTTCACTCAATACTTTATCTTTTATGGTTTTTTTCGTAAACTGTTCTTTTCTTCTTTCACTAATTCGCAAATATTTCTCAACTGAATGTACCATTTCTTTCATATCCTCATCGTTTTCCGCCATTTGACTACTTACATTTCTGGATAAATAATCTGCAATACATAAATATTGCCCAGGCTGATAACAAACTTGTAAATCATATCTTAACAATTTTAACTTCAACCTCTGTAATCGAGGCGAGTTTATTGAGGATATCTGCTTGTTCATAACTTAACACTTACCTTCGGTTTGTGATCAGTAATAATTTTAACAGGGCGGCCATAAATAAAATTATTAAATTTTTGACAAGGATGCACAATTCCCAGCAGTTCTTTTTCAATAGCTGCATAGTTTTTTTCAGTTTCTGTCAAGCCTCTCGATGCAAATACTACTGGTTTACCATCTTGCATTAGGCAACATCCAAGTCCATGTTGTGATGCGTCTGTTTGTATAATAATATCTTTTTTGTAATCAAAGTTTTTTAATGTAATATTTTCATGCAATACAAGTTTGATATCTTCAAGAGTTTTATTATGTACGTCTAACCACTGAAACATAATTTCTTTTTTAAGTAGCTGAGAAAGTTGGATTACAATTTCCCCTAAATTCGGAATAAACTTTCTAACATAATTTACCAAGCCAAGCAGTCTCTGCAATTCTTTCTTATTGAATAGTGCTTTGAGATCGTTGATGACCTCAATTTTATCATTATCTACTTTCATACACTCACTATTAAAAATATACCCCATGTATTTCACTTCACACTTTCTCAATTGCAACTTATATTTGTTAAATCTCGCACCCTTCTCTTTTGCTCTCTGTAACACCATTCCCAATTTCTTATCATGTTCCTCCATAGTGTTATAAGCTACCAATAATTCATCAAAATATATAATTACATTTTCAATATCCCCAAAATGTCTACAATTTATTCTCTGAAAGTAATAAGGTGCTAAATTTAAACCAAACGGTAGTCTCAAGAATTTGTAACAACCGAATGAATTAGAGAATGTGAAAGGAACTAGACTCCTCATCGAGCTTCACTTGATAAAACCCATCTTTAAAATCAAGTGCAGAACAACATTTTTTTCCTGACAACTTAGCACTAATATCTTCCAAGCTTGGAATTTCAAAGTATTGTCTTTTTATACACTTGTTTAAATCCTGTGGATCCAACCATAGACTTAAGGATTTATCTGGTTTTTCAATTATAACCAGGTTATTAACCCACTCATTAGCATTATCTAATTTCTTTATAACTTCCTGTTGCTCTAATTTATCTAATTTATGTTTAAATCTAATTTCAATAGCTAAAGGAACCCGACGAGTAGATCTAGCTACTGGTATACTGTTTTCTTTTAGTTCAATTTTACAAGTATCTGAAAAAGGGCCTAATGTTCTCAAAAACATCACTATTTTCAAATATTCACTAATTAATTTCTTATTTATTTTTGAATTCAAATCAATATTCTGACTAACCTCTTGCATACTTCCAGTGTTTTAAATTATTTTCAACCTATAACAAGATGGTAGGTAATCCTATTATTGGTTTAACATTCAAATCAACAATCAAAAATTCTAACTCAAATACTTTACCAAACCTTAAATACTGCAAGTTGATTTTTCCAACTGGTTTGATTTTTGCTTCGCCATACGCTTCCAAAATTGTACTGCACTTCACCAATATATGACAGTTATTGTCCCTGCAAAATGTCTTCAGTATTTTTCTAGGTAAAATATTCACGTCGGAGCTAGTATCTATTCAAAAATCTATGTCTGTGTTATGCACTTTAAATTTTCCAATCCATACTGAATTATTTTTGTTTTCAACCTAACCAACTTTTTTCAAAGACTGCACGAATAGGACTTCACTCTCTGAACCCGAACTGTTTTTTCCAATAACCTCTTCTACTTTTTTCTTTATAATAGAGATCCTATTTCGAAGATCTTCACTAAATGTTTCCGAGGAGAGCAATCGCCACTAGACTGGAGGGAAGCGTTAATCTCATCGATCAACAAAAACAGATTACACTACAAAAACTATAGAGGGATCACCGTCACAAGTTCAGTTGTCAGATTATATGGACGTATTCTGAAAAACAAAATAAAAATCGAGATCCCAGAATCAGAGGAACAAAATGGTTTCAGGGCAGGACGCTCCTGTATAGATGGAGTATTTACTCTTAAAAATCTTATTGAAAAAAGAATAGAAAGAGGTGGACTTAGAGAAAGCCCATGACATAAGTGGCCAGAAATTCATATAAATGTGATAAGCAACTCAGATGTAAATGCTGTCAAAGCTCTGTTTACCAATACATACAGCTCAGTCAAGGGCGAAGAGTTATTTCCCAACTTGATTCCTTATTATCGAGCAACAAAAGAACAAGATGAAACAAGAAAATAAGGTACTACCATTGTTGAAGCTATAACTACGTAGGTATGGCTCAGAGACTTGGGAATTAACAAAAAGGGACAGGGAAAGGCCTTTGGTCGTGGAAATGAATTACTGGAGAAGAAGCAGCCGAACATCCAGACTGAATCATATTAGAAATGAAGAAATAAGACGGTCGGTGACACGATTGAATCCAAATGACTCACATGGTATGGCCATCTCGAAAGAATGGACACGGGCCGGTGGCCAAAGAAACTTTGAGTTTGGATCCTACCAGAGCACAGAAAGCGCGATAGACCACGAAGAAGCTGAAAAAATACTGATAATTAACCCATGGTCAGTAGGACAGTTTTATTAGATATTATCACATATTTAAATATTTGTACTCGAACCTGATACACCCTGTATAAAGTCAAATCACGTTTCGTTCCTACAAAAATTTGCAATAAAAAGCTTCAGGTGTCATATAATAAGTGAATAGGATAAAAAAAATAGGGAAAAAAACAAACAAAAAAATATATAAACAAACTATTCGTATAATTAACAGACAAATTTAAACAATAGAAAATAACAATCAAAATAAGTCAAAAAAAAAAATTACAAAGCCTATACCTAATAAAACAACCCTTAAAATAATGAAGAATCAGTCTATAAAGCACATACATATCTAGAAAATTAAATAATCTATGCTCTTATTAAACAGAAATAGGCTACAAGTTAAATTATTGAGCCTGAACCCAAAAAATTTCAAAGAGTATTCGATAATCTCTAAAAATATTGGACGGATAATAAGTAGTAAAATAAGTAGATATAAATTTTGGCAATAAATTTTGCAATAAAATAATCTCACAAGAGGCAATAAATATAGAGACTAAAAGGTTATCGACAATTCGTAAAAACAGTTCAAATCAAAACATTGATAATGACGCCCCAATTACCAAGAAAAAGAACTAATTATTATGCAATAAATAATTTGAATTTATGATAATTTCTTGCCAAAATATTAATGAATAAATGCCTTCTCAGATTATTATGGAGCAGATCAGATCAGTCTCTATACCTAATTTATCTGAAAATTGGTATTCTTTCAATTTAACAAAATCTTCTCCAAAATAATCTGATTTGATGTCAATTGACTGTGAGCCCTTTAGAGTTTTACACATCTCCAAATGTAAAAATAAAGGCATCAGCAGTCAGCTGGACTGGACGTTTCATTTTATTATGACACTTTTCAAATATCACAATATTCATGCCTCTTCACTTCTACTGATTGGCCTCCTCATACTGTCCATTCTGTGTCTACTTTCCCGTTGCTTCTTCAATACTAATAGAATACTGGTAAGGGTGACCATCATGGCCAGTAGGCAGCCATATTTGAGCCCCAATTCCAAGTTTTTTACGGTAAACGTCATGTGGAAAATTAATGATACCATCTCGTCATTGAGGTCTTTTTCTTCTACAGCCTAAAGAAAAAAGAAAAAAAAATTAAAAATTAATGATGTTTTGGTCAATTAAAAAAAACATTTTTGCTTTTTAAATCAATTTTCGTTTGGTTTAGTTAGTAAGTTGTTTGGTTCTTACCGAATCGATCCAAACAATAGGCAGCATCAATCCATCATCGAACCTGTTGAGTTCCGAAACTCCGAAACTTTTTTCCACCCTCACGTTCAATTGCAATCGAATTTTTGCTCTCAGGGCCATGGCGAAGTTAGGGTGAATGTCGATGAAAGATTCTATGTCTGTAGGATTGGATCTTTGACCAGTCACTGCGTTTTGGATTTTCGGGTCTACGTTGTGCATGTGGGGTAGGGAATAGAAGAATGGGGCGCCTGAAATTAAACACGTGTGCTGCTGTAGAATAAATTATTGATTGATCAACGAGCAAATTGCTAGAGGAGGCCCAATAGAAAGTAGAGACGGTGAAAAAATTATATTAGAAGCACAAGTTTTTATGGCTAATATTTCATAGGATTATATTTAGGAAACCAGAAAAGCTATCGGTAGGAAATATCGTTAAATTGTAGATCTCGATTTGTAATTAAAAGTAGTTAATATTACCTTGCATTTTTTGGGACTTACACCTCAATTGATATTAATACCAGAATTTACTTCTGGTATTACCAGAATTTACTTCTGGTATTAATATCAATTGAGGTGTAAGTCCCAAAAAATGCAAGGTAATATTATAAATCCACCTCAAACATACAGACATTTGTTAAAAGTAGTTAAAGTATGCTTACCAAATGAACAAATTGTAGCGTTGAAAAATCCTCTGGGCGGACAAGAATTGGTTTCTTTATCACAAAAACACGCCTTGTCTCCTACACTGTCATAAACATCCAGTGGTACCTTATACCTGCAAAAAATATACATCATCACTACAAAATACGTGAAATTTCCATACAAGTTACTTACCTATAAGCAGGTATTCTATTCTCGAACAAACTACTCTCCCCACTGTACTCTAAAGACATTCTTCTGCACATTTGGGGCACGAAAACTTCGACTGGTTTTTTAACTTTGATTAAATTGGCTGGATACAAAATACCATCAGATCCTTGTATACTATTGCAAGAGTCTGTCCGCCAAATATCGTATTGGGATTTGCCGTTGTATTTTTCAATTTGCCCTAATCTGTTTATATTACGTGCGCCAGTATTGATTGTGTAAAGGTCCGGTTGGAAGCCTTGTTTCCAAGCCAAAAGACCGAAATTTTCAAATATCCGCTTGTCTTGGAACTTTAAAAACCCTTTGGAGACTTCATAGAATTCATCATTGTATCCGTTCACAAGATCCTCAACGCGGATTGTCTTGAAAAGTTTTTCTGACAGAGCTTTTATCAGCCCATTGTAGCTCAAGCGCATCAAGAAATTCATGTTTTTGACCACAGCCGCTCCTCCGAGTAGCAAAATATTTGGTACGACCAGTAAATCATCTTTGGAACCTTTCGATAATTCCTGACTAAACGTGTAAGTCCTTTTTTCCTGGTATGAAACAGTACCATCAGCTTTACTAAATCTGACGTTGAACCTTTCTAATTCCTCATAATAAACGTATGGGCCCACTTCTTCAACGTGTAATTTTTCCACTTTGCCTGCCTCCCAATCTTTGACGTTGGTGTAGTTGAAAAAATAAAACATGATGCGTGGTTTCGGTGGCGGTACTCTCCAATACTCGAAATTAAATGATTCTTCTGAGAGTACTCTGAAAGATTCGATACGTTTCTGGAAGGTGTTAGTGAACCACATGGTGATGGTACCCATTGTGCTGAAGGTGAAGAGTAGAATGAGTCCAGTAACGACTGTAAAAAAGTTAAGATGTCAGTATGGGATTTAACTATAGGTTACAAATGAAACAAGGTATTCTCTCGCTATTCAGATACAAGTAATTTTTTCTACAAACGTCACTAAAAGTGTAATTTTTAACGGATGCTGTCAGTATCTAAAATGCCATTTTATGAAACTGGTGCTAAAAGTGATTACTTTTAGCACTGAGTGCTAAAAGTAATCACTTTTAGTGCGTTTGTAGAAAAAATAGTGTATGATATTCGTGTTAAAAGTGATTTTATTTTATTCAAAGTAATGGAACACTCCGCCTTCCGCGTCGTGTCCCAAACTTTCCTTTTCAAAAAATAAAATGTCACTTTTTGCACCTATATCATAAATAACTATTAAGCTGAAGAAAGGTCAAACTAAATGGAACAGTAACATTTAGGCGCTTGATTTTATGTAGTAGTAATAGTATATTATATATTTAGTAGGTAGGTATAATAGCAGCTTCATGAAAAACTAAATTGGAATTGGGTACTAATGAAAATATGTAGTAGAGTAGTTGAGAAAATTGAAAAACTCACATCACTCTAGCCAATATATTAACCGAGATTGCATTTAATTTTACTCCATGAAAACATATTCCATTTCGTAATTAGTTGCAAAAGGGAAAACCTCAAGTAACTGGGTAGTTAAGTAGGTATATCTCTATGGAAAAATCTATCCTGAAAGAAGATGTTTGTTTGTTTGTTGATTCTAAGAATCAACTTATTGGAAATTGGGTTTATTAATTGGTAATTTTACAAATCAAATCTTGCATGATTAGAAATTCTAAAAATATATCTGTCAGACGATTTGATAACCTTTATAAAGGTTGGTCAAAAACATCAATATATTCAACTGGGTTTTTCTTATCTTATTGTGACGTCTTGACAAAACAAAATTTGAAGATATGTTGACGTATAAGCTCTATTATTTAGCATCACGTCCTTCTTGGAAATTGAAAGTTGAATTTTTCTAATCTTTTCGAAACTATCTAAGAAATATTGTTGTAGGAAAATTGTTGGTTAGGGTCGAAATAAAAACAGAAACCTGTTTACTTATATGTCGACGTTTCGGCTCATGTTAAGTCATCCTCAGGATACTAAAAAGGGAATACAGGTGTTATTACGTATTTCTTAAAACATATAACATCTTGGTTTTGTATTTTCAAATTCAGAGCACAATAAAAACAATAATCAAACAAACAATAAAAAGTTTAGTAAGAAAATTATAAAAAAATGTTGATGCCAGTCAAGAAACTGATTAAAAAAAAAAACCACACATTACACCAACTTACCTGAGTCTAAGTTTCTTTGGTTAATAAATAGGTACATTTAAAAGGAACAAGTGGATACTTAAGATGTAGGTACATATACAATAGACAATCACCCAGTGGCGCAGACATGGGGGGGGGGCAGGGGGCCCGGGCCCCCCCTAAGGCATCAGAGTAAAATAAAAAAATGATGAAGATGAAGTAGACAAAAGCTGTAAACTTCTCATATCATAAAAAGCTTATGGGGTCTAAATCAAAAATACTTATCTGGTTTATAATATGTAAAAAAACTGCAAGAACAACATCGAAAACCTCGCCTTTCTGCCGGATTTCTATCAAAAGATATCAGGCTTTAGTGTTTGCAACAAAACGTAGACGTGACATCACATTCGCGTACGGAGCCCAACAACAGATTCTGCTTTTTTGTATGTACTATCGTCACCAAAAGTATCTGGGACAAAAATAATGCATGATATTCTTCTGGACTAAGGGCGGGTATTATAAAACTACTTTGACAGTTAACTGAAAGTTAACTTCTGGAATTACATGAGAAGTAACGACATTCCAGAAGTTAACTTTTAGTTATTCTGTCAAAATAGTTTTATAATACCCGCCATAATTCATTTCAATGCATTTGATGGCCATAATGTTAATAAAACTACTTTTTTCTACAAACGTCACTAAAAGTGTCATTTTTAACGGATGCTGTCAGTGTCTAAAATGCCATTTTATGACACTGGTGTTAAAAGTGATTACTTTTAGCACTAGTGCTAAAAGTAATCACTTTTAGTGCGTTTGTAGCAAAAATAGTGTATGATATTCGTGCTAAAAGTGATTTTATTTTGTTCAAAGGGATGGAACACTCCGGCTTTGGCGTCGTGTCCCAAACTTCCCTTTTCACAAAATAAAATGTCACTTTTAGCACTTATATCATAAATAACTATTACAGTTTTATGTTGTTATTTTGTGATATTCCACTATCACATTTGGTGCTTATTTCAAGCAGTATTCACATTAACATTAACATCAACAAACAACGACGGCGAAATGATACCAATACATTTCATAACTTTCTGATACCGATTGGTTTCAACTGACGTTAATGACAGATCAGAGAGTAACACGGTATCAAATGGTTTCATGATACCACAACTCTGTGAAAATGCTTATAATAGTACAGGAGCTAATATGATGCTGTCCCAGTTACTTACTTACTTACTGACAATGGTACATCCTTTGGTTCAAAACCAAAGCCATGTTTCGTTTCAGCTATTTGAGTCAATCCGTATTTAAGTGAGAATCGTAGGATTTTTTACTCTGAGTCTACGGTATCCGACCGGTTGTGACGTCACGCTTCCACGGTTATTTTGCAAATTTCTCAAAAAACGTCAGGCATAAAATGGTGCGGCTTGAAATATTATTTTTAGAATTTGTTATACAGACATTTTGATTTTTGGTTTACATTGCACCCCCTCTAAAGAATAGGTGGTCTGTGTAAACTAAACTCCTATAATTTTTTCTGCATGGCTCCTTCCAGACAAAATTTCTGGCTGCGCCACTGCAATCACCAATCAATAACTAAATAGGAACGATCGATCCTCTTTTGTGTGTTTCTTTATTCCTATGTTTTTTTTTTACATTTAACCGATACGTGATATTGAAATTTTGTAGATTCCTCATTAATGAATATGATGTAGCTTCGCAAATCTAAAGTGAAAATTATAATGCAAATTAAAACAAAGAAAAAATTTTGATCGGGAAAAGTTTATTAGTGTTAATTCATGTTTTACGTTTTTATGTTTTCACAATGTACTAGTACCCGATTAAATTTAAAAAAAAAACCTTATTAATATTGAGCAAACTTACTCCTGATGATGAAGCTCTATATCTTCAAAACATGCAAGGCTCTTTAATTTTCAATTGAAAAATATTTTGTGTGGAGGAAGATTTTGTGTTTCTTTTGTATTCAAGAAGAAATTTGCCTATAAACCTACATAGAACCAATCATAGAATGAATCCTTTCTTCCTGATCCAGAAAGATATTGATCTTCCAGAAAGAATGGTACAAAATCAAACAAAAAATTTGTATGAAAAGACTAAAAACCTTGAAACTATTGGAAATGGATAATAGAAAACGAATTGAACTTATAAACATAATAATAATTCCCTAGTCTTTATTACACATGAACATTAAACATTATTCTTGCAATATAAACTTCTTTAAGAGAATAAATAACAGTTAAAATACCAGTTTTGAATTGATTTTTTTTACAATAAAAGTATCGAAAACAAACAAAATCAGGTAAAAAAATAAATTACTTAAAAGAAGACAAAAAATAACCAAAAACAATTTAAGCTAGAGAAATCGTTAGTACCGTAAAATGGGGTGAATAGATTCGCTGTGGTGAATAGGATCAAAAAGAGGGAGTTTATCAGTTTAGTTTCCGAAACCTTAATATCGTAATGAATGCTTTCTATTTGAGTTTGATTGGTTGCCTAACTCTATATCTCATAAAGGTTACCAATATTTTATCATTCAGCAGTTGGTAGCACTGTAAACCAGGCCTTAATTAGAAGTACTGTCAGTCATCTGTTTTCATTGTGGCCAAAACTTTGTCTGTAAATACGAATTTGAGAAGCATATATTGAGAGTAGTTGGCCTAATTAACTCCAACAGGTTAGTAACTAAGGCACACAATAGTTATTTTCCTAACAAGTGCGCAAAGTGTTACTTTTCCGCACGCAAACACAGTTATACGAACGACGCGAAGCGGAGTTCGGATACGTGTTTGCGTGCGGAAAAGACACTTTGCGCACGTGTTAGGAACAAAATTTTTCTTACGAGCTTCATATCAGGTAGGTAATAACAAAAATTAAAAAAAAAAAAACGATAATTTGTTTAATTATTTTTATTTAACTTGAAGGGAACCTATGCATTTATCAAAAAATTATATAACAAAAAAAAAAACAGAAAATCCTCGTCAGAGCTGTTCATCTTAAAGCGTTTAAATTTGATGAGAAAGTTTGTAGATTTTTGCATATAAATAGAGAACAAATCTGACAATGTGTCAAAGTTAATTTATATTTCGTGTTTGTATAGATGTTGGCTGATATAGAAACAGAGGAAAAATTTGTTTTCCTACGAGCGTGCGCAAAGTAGTACTTTTCCGCACGCATTTCCGGGCTCAAAGTTACACTTTTCCGCACTCAGTGCGGATACAGGCCTTATCCGCACTGAGTGCTGAAAAGTAATTATAATTGTCAAGCAACAATAAGTGCACCTGTCGACTTTGACACATGATGACAAATTTTTCCTCTGTTTCTATATCAGCCAACATCTATACAAACACCAAAAATAAATTAACTTTGACACATTGTCAGATTTGTTCTCTATTTATATGCAAAAATCAACAAACTTTCTCATCAAATTTAAACGCTTTAAGATGAACAGCTCTGACGAGGATTTTCAGTTTTTTTTTTTTGTTATGTAATTTTTTGATAAATGCATAGGTTCCCTTCAAGTTAATTAAAAATAATTAAACAAATTATCGTTTTTTTTTTTAATTTTTGTTATTACCTACCTGATATGAAGCTCGTAGGAAAAATTTTGTTCCTAACACGTGCGCAAAGTGTCTTTTCCGCACGCAAACACGTATCCGAACTTCGCTTCGCGTCGTTCGTATAACTGTGTTTGCGTGCGGAAAAGTAACACTTTGC